TAAGATAATGGTTCCCTAAGCCCGGATGGTGGTTGTGGAATAGGAAAGAAGTGCGAAGAGGAGACCTGGGAGTTTAGAACTGAGAAAATATAACGATGCTTTCATTCGTGCTTGTATTTGCCAGATGGTACCAGGCCCTTCTCTGCCCCCAGCTCCTGTCCATGTGAACCTGCAGGCCTCCCCCCACACCCAGGCCCACGCTTTCATCCTGCTTTGCCACTCACAGGCCCCCTCCTCTGCATCCTGGAAGAAGTCAGGCCTGAGTATGTCCACGGCTGCCCTGTCTCCTGCGGGAGCCACGAGGCACCTGTAGCTATTGCAAAGAAACCAATGAGAAATACGATCAAAATTTCATTGCTTTCAGTCCTTCTGGCCACGTTTCAAGTGCTCAGTAGCCACATGTGGCTTGTGGCTGCCAGTTGGACAGAGCAGTTAGAGGACATCTCTGTCATCCCTGGAAGTTCTCCTGGGCAGCGCTGGTATAGGGTGGCCCATCCTCTCTGACCTTCCAGCACTGACATACATCCGGGTGCAGGAGTCACTGAATCTCTAAACTGAGCACAGACCCCTCTGCCCTCCTATGAGATTTCACCTGCCAGAAGACCTTGATGGGGACCTTGGGGCCTGAAAGTGCCCCAGGCACCTTCTCAGCCTGCTTTTCCTCTGGGGGCTCCGGGAGTGGCTGGGTCCCAGCCGTCTCACTGCTCAGCTCAGTGACCGGGCTCTTCCTAACTGCAGATTGGGTCCCTGGTGGGGAGAAAGGAGACATCCTCCACCCGCAGAAGGGAAAGAGGCTCCATAGCAGTTGTCTGGGTCTGCTGGACTCACTCCAGGCCTCAGGGAAGGTTGGATGTGAGAGGCTGTATTCCTTTCCTGTCGCTGCTGTAACAAATTACCAGAGACTCAGTGGCTTAAAGCAACACAGATTTCTTCTCCTGCCATTCTGGAATGCAGAAATCCTCAGTGGTCGGCAGGGCTGCATTCCTTCCAGAGGCTCTAGGGGAAACTCCTTGTCCTTGTCTTTTCCATCTCATAGAGGCCACCTGCCTTCCTTGGCTTGTGGCTTCTGCCTCCATCTTCAGAGCCGGTGGGTAGCATCTTCAAATCTCTCTCTCTCTCTGACTCCTGCTTTCATCATCACAGCTCCTTCTCTGACCTGACCTTCTTACCTCCCTCTTGTAAAGACTCTTGTGATGACATTGGGCTCACCCGGATAATCCTGGATACTCTCTCCATCTCAGGAGCCTTACCTTAATCACGGCTACACAGTCAATCCCTTGTGTATGGAAGCTCACACATTCACAGATTCGGAGGAGTAGAACACCTTTGGGGCAGGGGCATTAATCTGTCTCCACACAGGCCCAGGAGGCAAAGATGCCCTGAACTCGTTCTCTCCACCTGGCCCAAACTCTTAGTGTACCACGTTCCCCTCCCTGCTCACACTCACACCCTTTATTGCATTTATCTGTTGGGTGCCAGGACGGCCCACATAGAGACCTCAAGAAGCTGGTTCTATGGAGTTATATTTGATTCCCTAACTCCAGGGAAAGGAGGCCATTCATTCCCTTTTTATAAAAAGGAAACATTCCATAGACACCGCTTTGAACCTTCTTTTTTTTTTTTCACTTAAATTTATTGGAGATAAGAATCTCTATCAATACCTAGAGATCACCTCTTTCTTTTCTGGCTGCGAGTTTCTTCATTCTGTGGATATTCCCTAGTTTATTGAGCTAATTCCCTATTGATGGTCAGTATTGTTTCCAGGTCTTTGATATTCTAAATAAGGCCAGGGTGAATCATTGCACCCTTGTCCTTTAGTATTTGTGTCCTTGTCCTTTAGTATTTGTGTATCCTTGAGGTAGGTTCCTAGAAGTGTGATTGGCAGGGAAGGCGTAAATGTTGCTGTGTTTTGCTTGAAGTTGGCAACTTTCCTTCCATAGGAATTATGCCCCAGCAGTGTATGACCATGCCCTTCCAGACAGGCTTGCCAAGAGGAGATGTGGCCCACCAGGCCCTTGTTGATCTGACAGATAAAAAAATGGTATCAGTGTAGTTGCAGTGTGCGTCTCTGTTATTATGAACAAGATCACTGGTGGTTCTACCAAGGGTCGTGTCCTTGAAATGGTGGTGGTGGAAACCAGAGTGTCCTGGGCTGAGGAGGGGCTGGGATGTGGGGAAATGAGAGAGCGAGACCCTTTGCCTGTGATCAGAGAGAGGGGCTGGGTAGTAACAGAGAGAAAACTGCTCTTAAGATGGATTTATTTCACGGGGCGCCTGGGTGGCTCGGTCACTGAGCATCTGCCTTCGGCTCAGGTCATGATCCCAGGGTCCTGGGATTGAGCCCCGCATTGGGCTCCCTGCTCAGCGGGTAGCCTGCTTCTCCCTCTCCCACTCCCCCTGCTTGTGTTCCCTCTCTCTCTGTCAAATAAATAAATAAAATCTTAAAAAAAAAAAAAAAAGATTTATTTCACTACTGAAAAACACTTCCTTGGGTTTCCATGGTGTAAGAAAGGGCCCAGTAGAGCGGGCGAGCTGGACAGGAGGGGCAGGCAAGACAGTCGATTGTGCGCAGCTCCTGAACGGGCAGGCGGGACAGAGCACAGAACAGAGCCGCAGAGCCGGGCCTGACACAGAAGGGGAGGCAGCTCTGGGTTTGGAACAGGAGGGAGGGCGGGGACCATGGTGCGCATGGCCGTTTGGGGGGCAGCGCGGGCAGGTAGATTCCTTCTCATGAAGATTGCTCTGAGAAGTAGGAGGCGGGACCAGCTGCCAAAAGCGAGGGTGTGTTTATTATCTGTTGCCCCCTAACAGATTGTCCCAAACCTCGGTGACTGAAGACAATAATAATCATGTGTCATCTCTCATGGTTTTTGTGGCTCAGGAACTCAGGGCAGCTTAGCTAGAAGGTTCTGGCTCAGGCACTTTGATGAGTTCCTAGCGGGATATCAGCTGGGGCTGCAGGGATCTGAAGTCTTGCCTGGTGCTGAGGGTTCACTGCCAAGGCGGTGACTCCCAGGCCGGCACACTGGTGCTGCTGTTGGAGGGAGCCCTCGGTTCCTCTCCAAGTCACCGCCGAGGTACTCTTGTCACGCGGGTCAGCCTGATGCAGGTGGGTGTCCACACCAGGAGGCTTCGGTCATCGGGGGCCATTTAGGAAGCGGGTTACATGGAGCGAAGAGGGGAGGGTGTGTGGGTGTAAAGAGATGAGAACAGGTGGATGGGTAGGGAGTCGCACTGACTTACGGAATGGCCTGCGGGGTCAAGGGCTCTGCACGTTGGTGACCGTGTTTCCCTAGAGGTGGTCGCATTACAGCTCTACCCCGGCGCTGCCACTGGGCAGGCGTGAAGGTGGGGCGGAGAGATGAGGAAGCATGCCAGCGAGGGGTCTTGAAATCGAAGCTGGGGAAGCATGAAGTGAGAACAGGGAGTGCCTGAGGAGGCAGGAGAATGGCTGGACTGAGTCCTTTGTGTGGTTGAGAACAACTGAGTGGACAACAACGGGGTTTGGGAGGCTGGGTTCAGAGAGACATTTCTGAGCTGTTGTTCTAGATGGTAGAACAGGGTCAGGTGATGACAGAGTCTAGGGTGGTGCCGATGGAAGGTGCGGCCAACGTGGATGGGGACCAGCTCGTAACAGTGAGGGTCATCCTCACGCCCTCTGATGTTATCCGAGGGCAGTGG